TCACTCCAGCTGGGTCCTTCCCTAAACTAGGAATTAGCAGACCAGAGAAATACACTTTTTAGGCTGAAAACTCACCATCTTGGCTACTTTTCCAGTTATAATTTTTTTGTCAAAAAAATTAGAAATCCCCTAGTTAATTCCTAAAACTCTCCGTTTGGCAAATAAACCAGACATTGACTTGCTTTTATGTGAATAACCTGCCATAATAGTTATAGTCACAGAGAAGGATTTCTGTTATCTTAATTGTTCATTTCAATTATTTCTATTTGTCAATATTTTGTTAATTGAATTTTGTTGAAGAAATTCATGTCCCTCCATCATTGACCACTCAAGTGAAAGAGATGTAGAGTTCTGCCACTGCAAGGGCTAATTATTAGGAAACTCTTAATAGTCCATCCTTTTATTCCCTCACACTATAGAATGTGAAGGAGAATATATGAGTGAGTGGGTGACTTCCCCCTTACACCCTACACCTATATCCTGGTTTTAGGGTAAGGTAATAAATATGAAAAATAGAGGGAGTCTTCCATGGGTGAGGATAATAGCAGTATGCATTACTAATCCCCTCTGTTTTTAATAAGATTATTCCTCATCCCACAGCATGGGGGTTGGTGGTAGCAAGTGCTACCACCTTGGTTCCCTCTCACTCACTCACTCTGATACTAAATTCAACACTACAAAAAGAGAGTCTAGGAAAGATTCTCTCAACAAGGTTTTTGTATCAATCCAAATTCATCACCATCGCGATGCCCAAATGTATCTCATACCATAGTGCCTTTTTTAAGATTGCAAACACTTTCCTAAAATTTATTTTAAAATGCACACTCATTGAAATTCAAGCACCTCTCTCCTCTATGTTAATATGACACTTTACTTAACTGACATCATATTAATGGGAGAAGAAAAATTCCAGTGGTATTTTTTTCTCAAATTCTTGGGAAAGGAATACTTTACAGTGGTTTAGGTGACCACTGGAAAACTAGTCTTTCTATAAAGAATTCATCACTGGTGACACATTCTAGGTTTTTAATATTTGGAAATAAATAACACAAAAAAGTAAAAAAGCTTTGTATCTGTGCCTTAAGAAGTAATTATAACTAAGCTCAAGGCTACTTGTTTAATATGGATGAATAGTTGATCTTTTTATATACAGATCCTTAGAAATCGGAGCTTTGCAGAAGTGCTATATGGAACTATCGAATCTGCAAATTATACACAAGATAGAACATTGGGGTGTCTGTTAGAGCAGCCGTTTTAGTCAAGGTGCGCAAAAACATCAATATCTTTTAACTGGTGGACATATGTCTACAGTTCGTCTTATCTAACAGAAAAATATAACAATATCTGCAAACTTTTGTAAAGCAAATATCTAGACACTGATCATGTTTATATGGACCCCACTAATTAATTCGATAATATTTAAATTATTTTCCTGACAACCATCCTGGAGCTGACTGGTGACACCTTGAGATGTGTTGTGGACCTTTATTCAAAAGCTAGATGGCTTCCAGAAGGCAACTTGGGTTAATTCAAGCTTGACTGGTTGCTTTGTGTCTGTAAGTGTTTTTGACAAAATGTCCTAATTTTGTCAGTATGACAGACATGAACCTACTGCCAAAAGAACCAACTTCAAATATTTTTTTTTAACTAACCTTTTTTTTTAATAATTATTTGAAAAGTTGGAGTGTGGTGGAAAGACCACGCTGTGACTGCTTTAATCTGCTTCTAATTAGCTTTCTGAATAATTGCAAACTATGCAAAAGTTCAATCAGCACTTAAAAAAATATTTTAACTTCAAATACTCAACATTGTGATTTTAAAAAAAGATCAAATAAAAATAAGACAATAGAGAGACTTGCTATGTGGGAAAAAAAATATTTTATTAAATTGTTTTTTTTTTCTGGAAAGTATAAACAATTGTATGAATACAAAAATCTGGCCAGCATTATAACCTCTTATTTGAACATTTCCATAAACGTCCAAGGAAAGAGAGATGTCGGCGCTGAACAAAATATATTATACAATTAATTACATTAATGTAAAACACTCTGTTTTTGAGACAGTAAGATACATTGAGGTTATGTATACAATATGTTGTGATCATTTTTGATGTGTTTTTTTCTTTGCGCCTAATTATTTGCCTGGTTTGAGCCTACTGTGCGCCTATACCATCCGTTTTGATTTATTCTTTGCTTCACAAATTAGTTGCTTTCAATCATTAAAAAAAAAGAGGTAACAGATATATATGTGTGAGAATTGATGAGTATATCTAAATACACACAGTTCTATCCTAAAACTGTCTGCCTCCAGCTCCCTGTCAATCATTGTTATAAGCTCTGCCTTTTATATCTGTCAGTCAGCAGAGAGCGAGAGAGCATACAGAGAGGAGGAGGAACCTAAATGCTGGGGGAGATTTATCAAGATGTTGAGTTCTGAAATATGGCGCAAAGTACTAGAGGTGCTGCAATTAGCATGGAGACCCATGGGACCAGCAAGTACACTCCATTGGTGGCTCCTCTCATTTTACATATTTGTACCACTATTCACTTTTAATATTGCAACACTTTGACAAATCTCTCCTAAAGTTCCACCATCTCCTCCTCCGATACTGTGATAGGACCGAACTGGATTTTAATGCCATTTGATAAATCTTTAATATACGTGTACATTGAAAGTAAAATAGAACAATACATTTACAAAAACTTAACATATAGATGATTTTCAGTTGTTTAATATCAATATTATTTTAAATATTTTTCAGTTCTCTATGTGAAAATTATTCTTTTTAGCACATTACAGAAAACACATAGTTTTTGTTGAAGCAGAGTTAGATTGGGTGATGTAGCTCCAATTGAGGAAACATTTTTTGTCTATTTCCAGTACAGAGACCCCGTTACTGAAAACAAGTATTAAAATATTAAGAAATTCAATAAATTATGAGCACAGATCTGGAGAGAATTAGAGTTTTCTGAAGTTCAAAGCGATTTTTTTTAAACAATCATAAATCTTATGTTTGGGTATAAGTTACAGTTATAAAAATGATCTACATTTAAGAAACAGCATTTTATTTACTATGATTATATATTACATTTATTGCACTGGATGAAATAGATTCAGTTACCAGGATAAATCGATTACTTATTATATTTACACAGCTCTGCATAGAATAACAAAGTCACTTTATGGAAATATTCCTCTAGAAAATATCTGGAAGTGATTAATTTGATTAATTGTTTGGTTTTTTTTTACAAACCTTGTATAAACGGATATCGCTGGATATTTGTTGGTTCCGAACTCCCAGGAACTTTCTGTGGATAGACACCAAATGGGTTAATCATTAAACCATGGATTTTGGAGAAGTGACAAGGGAAATGGAATTAATTAAGCCTAACATAGTCATGTTAGATCAGTGATGGCTAACCTTGACACCATAAATTGTTTCTGGACCACATTTCCCATGATGCTCAGCTAGCTTTTAGACTCTAGATGATAGTCCAGTTTGTCTGTCTTCGCCTAAATGTTGTAATTCCATAGTCAATTCTCCATATTTCTCAAATTAAATAAAGTTACTGCAGGCTAATTAACTAAAGTGTGAATTGGCTGGAATCTAAAAGGAAGCCGAGTTGGATCCATTTTTCATTATTTTGGCTTAAAATGTAAGATTCACTTTGAATTTATTATAAGTGAAGTTTTAATAAACAATAACATTGAGATGAAGAATTTAAATGAATGTAACCCATCACTGCCAACCTCACGTATGAATGGGTTTGTTTTTGCATTTTATGGTAATAAAAACGAAATTAAATTAAACAAAATCCATCACTTCATTTCTCTTTGCAGTAAATGATAATATGAGTTACGGACTCTTCTAAGTATGGATTCATGGTTTTGGCCAAGCTACTGTCTTTATTGTATGAAGACATCATGTCCACATATCATAAAGTTTACATTATGATTTTGGGATTAGGCACTCCCAAAAATAATAACGGATTCCTTACACATACCCATTAACATGGTATATTATATTTTTTCGTTTTGAATTTGGCACCAGCAGTATGTTAAAAATTATTTTTGCATTCTAGGCTATTTTTCTGAATTTATCAAAAAGCATTGTAAGGGATGTTATTCTATATCATATATAATCATATAGTTTATTCATTCACCTTTTACAGAAATATTGGAAAGGTGCAAATGACTAAAACATCTTTGAATGCACAGATCTAAATTTGGTGATATTCTAGAACAGTAATTCATCCTGGAAAACTGCTGTTTGCCCATAATTTTATATGTAATCTTTGCATCTCATGTGTCAAGTAAAAGTTATTTTTCGACAAAAAATGGCAATGAATGGGTTATCTTTAAAATGTGATAATTCGCATCACTATCTGATCACAGGACTTGCTGCGGTTTTGGCACACTGTTTGGTGTACTGTCTGGTATCAGTTAGTAGGGAGTGTGAATTCACTGGAACAAAACATGCAAGTTAGGGTTGGCCAAGATATTTGGAACATGATTGGTATAAACATTCTGCTTACAATCATTTCTAATAAAAAGCAGAATTATCTTAAATCAAGATTTTGGTATTCCACAAACAATCACAACTACTTATATGATAGGATTGCATATCTATTGCCAATAAATGATAAAATGGGGCTTGGCAAAAGTGGTGGTTGTAAAATAAACCCCTAAGCAGATTATGACAAACTGTTTTAGTTCTTTGTCGTATAATATATATTCAGTGACACGTAAATTAGATCATTTGTCTTATCAAAATTGCAGATGTTAAACGTTTTGTTTTGTGTTTTCCAAAAGTACATTTAAAAGCATTTTGTCAAGGTTGCAAAAGCAAGCTGTAACACTTAGAACAAAACATAAATTGTCCTTTAAGTATGTATCCATTCAACGCATTTACTTTACTTTAAATGTTCAGCCTATATGTCTTTGGATTTTTATGTAATACGTCTTAATTCCCTAATTGATGTCCATTATGTTCTGAAGTTTCAGTAATAGTCTGAATCTTCGCCGTCTGTTTCGTCGTCGAATAAATGGTTCCGTGGTTTAGGTAGGGACAAACCGGTCATGTTGAGCTGATCTAAGGTTTAAAAAGAAAGCAGTGATTCATGATAAGTGGAATACTTTACCCAAGTTCTTACAGTAAACAAACAAACAAAGAAGCCAAACACAGAAAAGTAAAAAGACAACAAAAACATTTTTATAAAAATGTTCAACATGTAATGCTCGACGTTGTTCAATATGTAATGCTCAACGTTGTTCTCCTTTCGAGGTTACATGTTGTGCATTATTGGCTCAATCCCTCTTTAATATTTTGGAATAAAAAAGCCAGCAAAGCTGCAAATTGCACCAGGACTCAATTCATCAATTACACCTATCATTTTTTGGAACTCAGACCAGCTCACATCAGTGAACGATGATAAAAAATATCTGGACTAGTGGATAAAAGCCCCTTATATTTTTAGATTATTTTTAGTGTTCCACAACTTTATATGTATAACTGATAGATACACTCAAGTGTCAGAAAAACATCTTCTTTATCTATTTCTTTATTTTATGGTCTAACTTTTTCCTTAAATAGTGTTCAGCTAGTACAATTATTTCCTGCCAATGGCAATATAAAATAATAATAATAATAATATCTAGCCTGGAAAGGTACTTTCTGTTTCACAAGTTTTCATATAAATCCTGAGATGAAGATATATGGTTTTTGTAATGGAAGTCATTTTATTGACCTCAGAAAGATGAAGGAATGAGTTGACCTGAAACACTGAAATGACCTAAAATTAGCAATACTTCCTGACAATTGCCCTTAAATTGTTACTTTGAGCACCATAATCCCTTCAATTATTTAAAGTTGTAATGGTGCCTGTTGTTTGTATGTACAATGTTTGGCTTTGAAATGCTGCACATATCGGGTTTAACCCATTGGCTATAGGAGTTATAAGTCCACCTCTGGCAGCATCATCAAAGTGTCATTAGCCAGGTCAGAACCTAGAGTTCTCAGCCATTGAATGGCAATTGAATTGGCTTCCATGGCACTGTAGAAGCCAGAAGAGCATCACCAAAACAGCAGGGAGCCTCGAGCCCAGCGGGGACCCAGGTAAGAGAGCAAACCATTGCTAAACAATTTTCTCCATTATCGGAAGTACCAAATCAGGGTACTAACAGCATCTTAACCACTATAGATAGAGGTATAGGTGGATGTAGTGATTATATTTGAAGTTACCCTTTAACTTCATTGACTGCAGCATTCCCTGGATCCAAATGGATGTACCAAGTTCATGTACTATACGTTGTGAAGCTGTGTTCTAGAATAATTTTGTGCAGACCATTAATTGCTTTTGTGCAAAGATTGGTGGCCACTTGAATGTCCATCAGTCTACAAAATAATGACATTACCTATTAACTAAAAATGAGGCAAAACTGCTTGTTGCTTCACCTATGAAGAGCAATGGGAAACAAATTTCATATTTATTAAAAACCGAATATATTGCCACATTACCTGGAGTAAGAACTGTTAGTGTAGCTCCTGCCATTACTTCCCCAATTTTGTTCTTGGCAAAGCACCGGTACGTTCCTTCATCTGTCACACGCACTGACTGGATCTGAAGCCATCCAGTCACTTCGTACTTCTGTGGACCTCCCCTAAACTGGATACAGATTATCACATGAATATGGAGAAGAAATGTACAGTATTGTAATTTACAAGCACAGTGCTGGCAGCGCCTCTAATGGCTGTCAAATTCATCATAATTTGTGCTGATCTGATAATTGCTCAAATTCACGAACTCTAATTTGTTATTCGGGTACATTTCAGCTCAAACAAAATGTGCAACGGTCAAACATATTTGTTTTTATTTGTAATTTAGAACTCTGTCTGTGCCGCCAAAGAGATGATTGGTGGGAAAAAGATGATTGATAGCTAGTGGACAATCACTAAATATGGACAATTGAGCAACTGTCCCTCCTCTTTTTCCCACTGTTGGTTGTTTTTTCTCACTTGATATGTGAACTAAAAGGAGGAAATACACCTATCAGTGTATAACATGTGTATATTTTGCAGTATATTGATTGGCCCATATTCCCACCCTTTTTGTTTGTCAGATTTGTTTTCTGAATAGGTTTTCGTAACCGAAATTCTGGCGATCTGAACTGCCAAATGGCTGAAATTAAGCTGTCCTGAAATTTGTTTTATATTTAAAAAAAAAAATGGTTTCGCTGGAACAAGTTTTTTCAATGTGCACAGGTCTAAAAATGTAACGTTGGCAGCTGTTTCAGTTATGGTTTCATTTTGGATACAATAGAATTAGCATTATATGATTATATATCTATATAAAATTCTATATCCCTTATCTTAGATCAGGTGTTATAACATCTCCGTTTTATGACTGGTATCTTACCCTGTGTCACATTTGCTTTAGTTTGGAAACATTGCAGCCTTTACTATATACAGACAAATCTTACATTTGAAAAAACCTATCCAGTATGTGAAATACATATTGAACCTGTTGCTCATTTATTTTTATTTTTGAAAATTCTGGGTGGTCCTCACTGCATCCAAGTACCAAAATTAAATGCTTGGATCCCTATCCCAGGAGAACTTCAGGAGATGTGACAGAAGCATGACGCCAGATGGACGATCGCATTGACCACCACAACCACACCAAACATTAGCCACAAAAATGGCAGTTCCGAAAGATGTTTTAAAAAAGATGAAATCATCTGCCGAGGGGAACAATATTGTAAACCATTAGGAATGTTAGTCTGTACCTCATTCAAAATATTTTCCAAACCCCGAAATCTTTCCAAAAGCCATTAAATCAAACCATCAGCCAAAGAATGTATCTTTGCGCTAGCCTTAGAAGTATTATTGATAACTGTGTCAGTTCTAGCCCATCAGAGTCATGTTTTTTACTAAAAAGTGACTTGATATCGAAACAATGTTCCAGTTCTCCTTCTCATTTGCATTGGGCGACCTAGGCTCTGATTGGAAAGACCTGGATTGTGACATTATTTTCTAAACCTTTTATATACATTTAAAAAAAAAAAATGGAGGATCGCATGAAAAAAGACTAGTAGAAATCACAGGTATTTTTTTAAAAAAATATTTTTCATTTTATTTAATGGTGTTAATTCTGGAGAAGTGAAGGTTCTTCTCTAAAGAGGTAATGTCATCTTCCATTAGTGTTTACCCTCACTTCTGTAAATGATGTAAAAAAATATTCACTGAAATAGTAAAACACACCTTTACTGAATGTCTGGGAGATCTTTACTCCTCCGCAAGGAATCACAGGACATTTTTTCAATGTCTAATTTTAGTTTTTAAATCAACAGACACCTTTCTGTGCCTTGAATGCTAGCGAGTTAAAAAATATAGGCACAACTAACTAGATTATAAAATTAAGTCTCTACTCCTGGGTGACAACTAACTAGCTAAAGTTTATTAAATGGGTGTGCCATGACCTCCAGACTAACTGTTCCACCTTAACACATACGCTCTTTGTATTAGGTGGTTAATGCAGACATTTGGAATGTCTGTGTGTTGATGAGATTGTCATCTGTGTTACAAAACGCTGGAGCATTCTAATAGAATGGGGAATATCCATATAGACTGCACATTGAGTAAGACTGTACTTTACACAGATTTCACATGACGTTGTTTTACCGAGCTGTCAGTGGTGTAAGAAAAATTGACAACTTGACATATGTGGACAAGCAAGAAAGAAATGTACTGTTTACATATCTGGATTATTCCAATAAATACATTAACAGACAGGAAACATATGTGTGCTTTTGTCTGTCAAATCAACTGACCACACTTTAACCCCTTGGCTACTGCAAGGTTCTTTAAGCGTAAAAAAGAAATACAAAGGATATGTAAAGATAAAACAACAACTCAGCGTAAAGCTTTGAGTTCACGGACACAAATACATTAAAATTATATAAATGTCCAAAATGTAAATATTAGGGGAGAAAAATCTGATTTAATAACTATATGGCATAACTAATATTGTAGTATTTCTGGCAAGATCTGAAATATTAGCAATGAAGCAAAAAAATAAAATAAATATATATATTTGACATTGGCAATGCCATCTCTGAAAATAGGATATCCCAAAAATGCCCCCAGAATGTAAGTGGGCATCGACAGTAAGTACAGTTACTCCGGGTATCTTTATTATAAAAGGAGTAGTATACTCATTGTGCACAGACTCCTCCCTACAGTATAAGGTGCTATATATACTCAATAAAAAAGGTGAAAGCACACAGCACACATACAAATATACCCTTCAGATCCTTTATGGAGCCACAAGACAGAAATATGTTAATCTTTTGCGCAGTATATCTTGAGCCAGGGCCGGATTAACATAGGGGCTGATGGAGCTGCAGCTCCAGGCCCAGGCCCATGGAATAGGCCCATTTAAAAAAAAAAAAATATATATATATTTTTTTTTTTTTACACTCTACTCTTAGGTTTGCCACCTGACTGGCATTTTACTGGCACAGATGGTATTAGAGGCTGCCTGGCCGTGCTGGTATTGCAGTAATACCGTCAATACAAATGCCGATATTTTTCTCAGTATAAACAGAGATTACTCTGCAATACCAGCGTCGGCCAGTAGGGGTCACTGTGTGTGTGGAGAGAGGCAGGGATATGAAGTTACAGCATCTCCCCCCCTGCCTCTCTCTACTCATTGATCCGCGGGGGAGCAGCTACAGAGCACAGAGAGTCTAGACAGCAGCTCCCAGCCTGCAGAGACAGCCTACAGCTCAGGGAAGTGAGGGATGAGGGGAAAGGCTGCAGGGAGACATTGGGACACTGAGACACTGGGAGACCTGGGGACACAGACACTTGGAGACACTGGGAAACATGGGGACACTGAGACACTAGGGAACGCTGTGAGACATAGGGACATTGAGAGACACATTGGGACACGGAGACACTAATGACACAGTGTCTCCATGTCTTCCAGTGTCTCCATGTCTCCCAGCCAGTGTCCCTAGTGTTTCAGTGTCCCCATGGCTCCCAGTGTCCTATAGTCTCCCAGTGTCTGTGTTCCCATGTCTCTCAGTGTCCCTAGTGTCTCAGTGTTCCCATAGCTCCCAGTGCCCCCATGTCTCCCAGTGCCCCCTTGCCTCCCAGTGTCTGTGTCCCCATGTCTCTCAGTATCCCTAGTGTCCCAATGTCTCCCAGTGTCCCCAAATGTTTCAGTGTCCCCAAATGTTTGTGTCCCCATGTCTCCCAGTGTCCCCAAGTGTCTGTGTTCCCATGCCTCCCAGCCAGTGTCCCTAGTGTCTCAGTGTCCCCATGTCTCCCAGTGTCCTCTAGTCTCCCAGTGTCTGTGTTCCCATGTTTCTCAGTGTCCCTAGTATCTTAGTGTCCCCAAATGTCTGTGTCCCCATGTCTCCATGTCTCCCAGTGTCCCCAAGTGTCTCACTGTGTCCCCATGTCTCACTGTGTCCCCATGTCTCTCAGTGTCCCTGAGTATCCTAGTGACACAGGACACACTGAGACATGGGGACACTGGGAGCAATGAGGACACAGACACCTGGAGACTAGTGGACTGAGTGACATGGGGACACTGACACTGTGATACATAGGGACACTGATGCCAGGCTGGCCTTCCAATTCTTTGGGCAGACATGCCCCCTTTTTGGGCACTGTTGCTCCTTTTGGCAGTTCTGGTCACGTGATTCGTGTCAGTAGCCCACCCTTTTACACCGCCCATTGACTTCCTGCTTCACTGGACACTGCTGTTAGGGGGAATGGATTTACTTGAAAGATGAAAGCATTAATTAGAGAGAGATTAGCATATTTTAAGAAAATCTGCCTTTTCTTATAGCTGCATCCTATGAGTTTCCCTCTGGCACCATCTCCACCAGATACATAACGCTTGAGAGGTATGACTGTTTTAGTGTTTTTGGTCGATAAGATTCTGTAATTAGGCCCCTCATAATTGTCAGCACCAGGCCCACTGGGATCTTAATCTGGCCCTGTCTTGAGCCTATTCAAACCGGCTCCCTGCAGTATTATTGAAGAAAGTGTTCAAGACTCCTGGGAATTTTCAAACATGTGCTCTTTAAACTTAAGCCTGTTTGAATAGGCTCTGTAAAATGTGAGTGCATCAACATATAGTGATGTACTGATATAATGCACAATATAATTGTATATTTTGGGGGCATAAATACCCCTTCAGACGGCTTCCTGATATTAGTGATGACATCCGGTACATTCTGGGCAAACTTGATGCCGGTTCCGAGTTCAGAAAATACTGATAAAGTACAGCCGTGGCCTCCGACTACCTGAGGCATGGTGTGTTCCTGTGGCAGGAGAAGTGGATGATCTCTCTGTCCATACCTACTTGGGCACTCTTGTGGTATTCAAAGCCCTGTACTCTTCCCTCTTTGGGCTGGTGGGGGTTATCCCGATCCCCACCACATAGGACTCTATCTTACCTTTGCTTCTGGATGCACATCATGAAGACAGCTTACATGCGGTCCCTTAAAAATAGCCGAAGGCAAAGCTGCTGTTAAGCTGGAAACGCAAGCATCAGCCCGAAGCTGGGAGATGGAATTTCAGAAGGCATTCAACGCTATTTGCCAGTGGTTCTGGAGTAAACTGCAGGAACGGAGAAGACAATCAACTATACCTACTGCCATGCCTGCTCCAGTGGCAAAATTTCCAGGCAAAGCATTAACCCAGAGAATCCCTCCTAGGCAGGGAACCAAGACAAATTGTGCAACTAAGCGCAGCCTGCGCACCAGGCTGGGACACTAATGCCTGGAAACCCGAAGGCTCTTCCTGATGGTAGGGAGGGTGGTTAGCAGACACTGGGCGCAAGATCCCATTGGCACCCCGGGCTGGAGAGGTGCCGTTTGTGGCGGCCTACTGGGAGACTCAAGCACTCCAATTCCTCTAACTGGACTTTGCCTGACAGCTAAGGGCAGTTTAGATATGCCAGTGTACATAGGACTTAGTCATAGCAGTCGGCTTAATGCAAATGTGGATATATCAATATCACGTGCTGTTTGACTTTTGATTCTTCAGTCTATGCTTGTACACTTACTAGAATACCTGCTATGTCTAACTTCTGATATCCAAATATTTTGCTACCTGGTGGTTTTCTTATCTTGTGTTATTTCTTGCGCAGTCAGCCAATATGCCTTATTAGATATTTCAGTTTTTTCCCCCACATCTCTGTACTGATTAACACTAACTTAAACATGCTATACAGAAAATTGTGCAGTTATTTTGAATGCCAATGGCGATGTACTACCATGTACTACCATGCTTGTTCTTGCTATCGCTGTTGTGGCGTCGCAAGCTTAGTTGTATTCTTCTGCACATCTTGGCAGTGGGGTTAACCATCATTCTTAACCAACAGAGTTTTGTAAACTCTCCTGTTTGACCTAGAGCAGCGATGGCTAACTGATCCAAGTTCAGCTGTTGCAGACTATGTTTCCCATAATGCTATGCTAACCATCCTTATCAACAAGACCTTAAGAGCTAACGGTAACAAACATTCGGTATCACTAAAATCCGGAACAGCAAAACAAGTTAATTATCACAGAGATCCAAATTAATCTGAATATCTATACAGGTTCCAACTTCTGGTAATCAGAAACTGAAAACAGAATGTTTATTTAGTATATAACACAGTATGCTGCTCAGACTTACTAGAAAGATATTGAAACTCCATAAATAGTTTAATCAGAGCAAGTTACTGAGAAATGATCTCATTATGTAGTATAAGCGCATTTAGCGTCACACATAGGCATTCTTTGTTTTGGGGTTTCCTAGGTGGTAAAGAACCATTGGTAACATAATCTAAAAAAGCCAGGAACAGCAAACAAACTCAGCCGAAATATATCTGACCTGTGCCAGCCCTTACTTTACATTTTATTTACCATGGCCTGGGTGCAGAGAGGGGGGGGCGAATGCATAAATAAACTGGTCATTAGTGAGATTTAATTAGCATTTTGTGTGCTTACTAGTTATTGTAGCAATGTAAATAGCCACGGAGGAGCAATATCCGCTTTTGAACCGCAGTAGACAATACTGACTTTAAGAAATTTGCCAATAAAAATGCAATGTCAGATGAATAAATGATGTGCACTAAACGTTCGTTAAAATGATTTCTCAATGCCAAGGAGCTAGTAAAACACCAAGCCTGTTCTATGGCCGTGATTATATATATAATAAATACATTATGGACACTATATAGATTTATACAAATAAGAAGCAGAAGCTCTCAAGCAAGATTGATGTTTTTTATTGACTGTGTCCGTGATTGCTCGTAGGGCTTATAAAGAACAGTGGCATATGTTTAGCTTCTTAAAAAAACAGATTTACTGGAAAGAATAAAGTTTTCTCTCATTCTGAAGAATATCATATGTGTAGTTTTATTACTCCTGATTTACCAAGCTTTCTTAAAGATGTCGGAAAAATAAATTGACCACATTGCATTAGGGATAATGGGTGTTACAGTATAAGAACACCATGGGGATTTCACGTAACCTGGTATTGAAACAGGAAATTATATATCAAGAGATAGTACCATAAACAAACATATCATAAGACAGCGTTCTAGAAGTATTGGAATATAACCCAAGGCTCTCGTTACCTGATTTCTCTAAAACATGTTGCTTCTCAGAGCACCAAAATAACAAATCTCATATTTTTTCCATACACTCTTTCCATATACATTTGGAATTGTCTTACTGCACTTTTTCTTATGAAAACCAGTTGTTTGGAACCATTATTGGATCTATGATACGGTGGCAACTCCTAACCTGAGCTGTTCAGAGTCGATAAGCAATACTATAACATTGGGTGGTATTCCTCATCAAAGGGATTACTGTAATACTTTCCTCGTGGCCCTCATTCGAAATCCCCCCTGATTTCCTTATGCCTGTAATCAACATCAGGGACTCTTGGCCGGGTTCCAGCAGTCAACACTCAGTGAAGGTACCTTGAATTTTCACTTTGAGATTCAAATACTTTAATGGGGGTAAATGGAGTTTAATCTGTCTCTTTCAACATCTGCAACTCTGTGCAGCAGAATCCTCACAATACTGACTCTTACATGAAGACTGTTTTCACAACATCTTGAGATACTGAGTGTTGCACAGCAAATCATTTCCTTTTTTTTTGCTCTGTTGTGTCATTTGGCTCAGTTGAAACACTGATTTTTCTAGACTTATTGCCATCTATGATTTAAACATATCTGCAAATCCATCATTCTATATTTTCCACATCTTCAACAGTCATACAAATATTTCCTGGGGTGAGAAAAGTTTAATTACAGCTATGTGCGTACATAGATGGGTGAACTCCAGCAATTTTGACTTGTTTCAATTTTTTTTTTTTATAGTATAGGACATTGGTAGACAACCTTTGGCACGCCAGATGTTTTGGTCTACATCTCGCACAATGCTCTTTCAGCCATATTGATGGTAAGATATCCGGGGAGATGTAGTCCACCATCTGGAGTACTGATGGTTGTTTTCCACTGGGCTAGGATATGGATCAATGAGGCATTTCAGCAGATAGCAGACGTGAGTAAAATCAAAAGTTAGAGTGGGTTTAAGAATGTAGTCTGATTTGGGTTTACTTTCACAGGATGTCACTGCTAACATAACAGATCTGGCAGACACTGAAAACTTTGCGGCTAAAGAACTTCATGGTAGAAAACATGGTCGTGTGGCTCTCCATGCCCTGAGAAAGTTGAGCCAAATGGCCAAGATAACCTTCATTCATACGGACTTCAGGGTGCCACCAAGCCTATACATTCAACATGCAAACATACGTGTGAACAAAGATTGCACATAGCTCCGCTCTCCGTGGCACTGTGAAGTGCTTAAGTGTAACAAGCTAAATAATTCTGCTTCCCATTTTCTCCTTTGTTTTTATTTCCTTCTGTCACTGACATTTCTTCCCTACAGTGTGTCCTATTTCTCTTCTTTACTACAAAGGAAAATCGTGAACTTAAATGAGGGTACATTTAAGTCAGGAAACTATTTTCTTGCCATATGGATGACAAAAAAAAAACAGCAAATATTTCCCAGTAGATTGCTTTTAACATGAAAATCCTTCTTAAGCTGTTTCTGGAACTCTGCGATTTTGACACGTGTCTCAGAAATACTCTGGCCATTCTGAATGTAACTCTCAATGTATTTTCAATGTTTAACTTCAAATTCATATATAAACATACAAAGTAGCAAAATGAGTTGAAGAACACACTATTCATTATGATCAGACGAGTAAAGGAATTGGTGCAGTATTTAGCATGGTGAACGCAAAAAGAGGTACAGAGCCTCACACATGAAAATATCGTTATAAGGTAATACCCCTTTGTAACATTAGGTAAGCAGATGTTGTTAACGTTAAATTTACCTAAGGATCATCTTTGGCAGGCAGCCATAAATCTCCAACAGCCGGGATAGTGTATACTGGGCTAATTAGAACAACTAGTGCATATATCTATATATTGAAAGCTCACATTTATGCTGTAGAGTTTTATAATTAGACAGGAAGTATGGAGATGTCAGGGAGAATGTCTGTGCGTCTACTTGTTTTGCGTTTGTAAATACTATACGCCTTAATCAGTTTAGGGTTGTCACCAAAGAGTTCTTCTTGGGTGGTGGAATGAAAAACGCCACTGAATCGATTTAGGGTTGACTGTAAATAGCACAGACTTTGGTTTATACATGCTTGTGTAAGTCCACTTAGAAATAGTGTACACTTTACATTTGATTTGGGGTTTACGTGCCTGAGCAGTAAATTTTTCCTCTCAAAGACTGTTGAGTAGTTTCCACTTCATCTCGGGGACTTCCATCCACGAGTCCTCAAAAGCCTTAACACTCTTAAAGGGACACAGCAAAATCCATCCAGCATAATGAAGTCATTTTTAGGGTACAGATGCTGCCCGCATCTCTCAATTCATTTAGGCAGTGACTGAGGGCTTTAGACTAAAATAGATTCACTAATTACATCTATTTTATGTCCAGTGCCAAACTGCAAGGAATCCTGACCCCAGATGCTGGGTGTTCTTTCAGTGCATCAATGTGAGATGCATTGAATTTGTTTCCTCTCAAAGAGAAGCATTAAATTGACAGATTGTAGCATTTGCTTCACATACGTCATATCTCTGAGAAATATTTGACTGACCAAAAGTTTTCAAACTTGATGACTTCATTTCAGTGTCGGACTATAAGTTTAATTGTGATATAAACTGATTTTTTTAAGTGGGGTACGTGAATTTAAATGGATAAATAACCCCTGGAGACTAAAAATTATGTATATTATAAACACTTTCTTGGTGATAAAGTAATGGCACTTGAGTGATACAGCAGCATTTAACACTGCAATATTATATCTTCTTTTACACAGCTTTGAAAACACCTTTCATTGGATAGAGATTGCTAAGTCCATTCTACATAATCAAAACATCATTGTTTGAATAATGAAGTATGCAATCATTCATTATTAGTTTATAGTCCACTAGTGATACTCAATCTCTCCCTTTTATTTTTATTTTTTTATTTTTTTGTAAATATATTTGAATGCATACAGCATCCTTTTTCTGCAGTTCATCTGTTGATATATTTGGGAATGCAGATTCCCCAAATGCCAACATGTGTGTCCTGAGCAGTGCATAGCATTTTCTAACTTCTGCCTGAGATTCAGCAGCCTGGCACGATGAACATCAGCCTTTCAGGACCCGCACGGGGCCCCCGGTTGGGTGACATAACTCACAGCCCCTCTTCGCAAGGAACCAGAACTAACTGAACTTAGCTTCCTGCACCTACAAACTGCTGTTTTACAAAGAAAAACTATGCTCTAGGGGTTACGGGGACAAGAGTCTACTGGTTGGGGGATAACTCCACGTTACTAACTGTAAGCCAAGGATAACATGTTGGGATTGGCTGATTGAAGCCCTAAAGCTAATAATCCCCATTTCATCCACACCTTGTTTTTCCAGGTGATCTTTCTTTTATATATACAAAATATTTTCGTAAAGGGAAACTCAGTGAAACAACACAGTAGCCGAGGCTGCTCCTCCTAGGGAGCTGTGATCTATAAATTACATGGACTGAAATACCTAAGCCTATTTGTAGACGAACAGGAAATCCTAAAATATGGTTTAAATCATAAATTTATATATCATCTCCTGGGGCTGAGAAAATGATATACAAATGTCCACATTTCCATGAAAATCTGCATCCAGAAGTTAAAGATCTTAGTAGTTATTCAATTTATTATACTTCCCTTTCCAAGAAATTATTGTGCTTTAGTCCTGACATGTTAATGTAAAATACTGTGTATTTAAATGGAGAACTCTTTTGTAGAATTAAATCTGTAGTTTCCATAATTTACCTGCATATCTGCATCTAGCCACTTTTCTGGCTCTTTTTTATGCCATGGAGAAATCTACTTCTTGTATAAGTTAATGTATGTGTTCGTGGAGGGTTGTACATCTTCTCCCTCCCAGTTATGTCATATCTTATCATGGAAAGATGGGCTACTGAAAACAGCATGAGGATACAATTTCCCTAATAAGAAAAGTGTGTGTAACTGTATCCATCAGAATAGCAGTAGAAGCTTAATTTCTGATGCCAAGGTGGGTGGGCATGAGGGGAAATAAGCTGCGATCAGTGCCACCTGCTGCCTATGTATCCTTGAGGTGCTCCTTATCTCTGGGTTCAGGTGGAATGCGATAAAGTAGATATTTAGCAACAGGAGCAGCTATAACTACCAACAATACCCTGTGCCTGGGATATTAGCACTCGGTGCATCCACTTCAGCATGCCACACTTTTGGTTAATTGCTCTGAATCATTTAAACATTTGGGGCTAATTTCCAAATTTTCTTTAGTAAATCCCCAATTCTAGATTTAAATTCTTCATTATAGAGATTTAGTATATGTGCCCATTTAAATATTACAATGTTTAACGCCCTACGAATAAAGTGATGGTGAGATGGCTGGATACATTACGTTTACCGGAGTCCTAATGTGTTACTTTGTAACAAGCTATTTATCTGTTGGTAGAGATTATCTGCTTCTCACTTCAGCAGATCTTATTCATTGTTGGTTTAGGGATCAAAGGACTCAATAACAGCAGTTTTTATGAAATACATATACCTTTATTTTACCTGTGCCTTTGGTGTCCTGCTGAGAGATGACAGTCATAATGAGCGTTTCTGAGAAGTATTGTAAAATATGGCAATAAAAGTGAGTGAACCATCACGGTCTGTACCGTGCTTTCCACACCCACTTCAACACAATTTATTGCTTCATAAATCTCCAAGAGCAGAGGGAGGAAATGCCAGTCAAATCATGTAAGGATGGGAGCCCTTTAGTCCCGAACCCCCTTTTCAATTTGTATTTCTCATCACACTGAACATACTATAGTGTTAACATAAATCCCCAATAGAATCACAACAACAAAAACAAACTAAATATCAAGACTATAAATAATTAATTTCCTTTTTTTTTTGCTTAGTTTGCAGTTGGTCCAGTGTCAGGGGTTAGAGTTCATGATTTAATAGGGGTCCAGATGCCAGGCACCCAACCTTAAGAACCAACACAGAGTACAGGAAATAGCAGTGAATGTTCAATAATTAATCATGGAAAATAACCAGAGATGGAAAAGTCAGAGAAGGACAAGGAGTCAGAGAATAAAGTGCGGCCAGGTTGTTCAGTAGCATGAGATTTGGGGAAGAAAGGCCAGGTCTGAGAAAAATGAGGAGTCAGAGAATAAAGTGGGGCCAGGTTGTTCAGTAGGATAAGATTTTGGGAAGAAAGGCCAGGTCTGAGAAGGATGAGGAGTCAGAGAATAAAGTGTGGCCAGGTTGTTCAGTAGGATAAGATTTTGGGAAGAAAGGCCAGGTCTGAGAATGATGAGTCAGAGAATACATTGCAGCAAGGTTGTTCAGTAGGATGGGATTTTGGGAAGAAAGGCCAGGTCTGAAAAGGATGAGGAGTCAGAGAATAAAGTGGGGCCAGGTTGTTCAGTAGGATGAGATTTGGGGAAGAAAGGCCAGGTCTCAGAAAAATGAGGAGTCAGAGAATAAAGTGGGGCCAGGTTGTTCAGTAGGATGAGATTTTGGGAAGAAAGGCCAGGTCTGAGAAGGATGAGGAGTCAGAGAATAAAGTGGGGCCAGGTTGTTCAGTAGGATGAGATTTGGGGAAGAAAGGCCAGGTCTCAGAAAAATGAGGAGTCAGAGAATAAAGTGGGGCCAGGTTGTTCAGTAGGATGAGATTTTGGGAAGAAAGGCCAGGTCTGAGAAGGATGAGGAGTCAGATAATAAAATGGGGCCAGGTTGTTCAGTAGGATGAGATTTTGGGAAGAAAGGCCAGGTCTGAGAAGAACAAGGAGTCAGAGAATAAAGTGCGGCCAGGTTGTTCAGTAGGATTAAATTTTGGGAAGAAAGGCCAGGTCTGAGAAGGATGAGGAGTCAGAGAATAAAGTGCGGCCAGGTTGTTCAGTAGGATGAGATTTTGGGAGGAAAGGCAAGGTCTGAGAAGGACAAGGAGTCAGAGAAAAAAGCGCGGCCAGGTTGCTCAGTGTGATGAGTTTATGAGAAGAAAGGCCAGGTCTGAGAAGGATGAGGAGTCAGAGAATAAAGTGCAGCCAGGTTGTTCAGTAGGATGAGATTTTGGGAAGAAAGGCCAGGTCTAAGAAGAATGGCTTTGGACGAAAGTTTCAGAATTAAAGAAACATCAAAATAAATGGGAGAATTAAACTGAAAGGGAAGAAGGGAAATGATTTATAAAGAAAATAGTAAATGCTGATAAAAAAAAGTTTTGGAAGGAAATTACATTCTGAGAAGGTCTAACAGGGTTATTCACTAAAGGGAGAATTCAAAGTGAATTTCAAATTAAAGGCCAAAGTAGCCAACCTGAGAGAAAAGCTGATTTAGACAATGTTTCCAGTTCGGCTATTTTTATTTTGAATGTAATTCTTAGTTTGGGGTTTAGTGAATGCACCCATAAATCCTTATAAATACATTACCTGGACTGAAATATGTGGGTCATCCCCAGGAAGCAGCATTTCGATCCCCTCTTTTCTCCATTCAATAGATGCCATGGGGAAAGCAAAAACCTCACAACCGAAAATTGCATCTTTCCCAGTAATGTTCCAGATGTCGTAAGGAGGAGAGAGAATTTCAGGTGCTGCAGTGATATAAAAAAAAATATCTTTTTCAATAACTCGATATTATGGAATGCAGGTTAACACTGTAAAGATCAGAAAAAACAAACAAAAAACAAAACAAAAATAAACCAATGCTACCAAAATATAAGATCATAGGTAGATGTTGACATATTACATGACTGAGAGCAGAAGGACAGTTAAATTAATTTGTAGACACAGTTGGTGAGAAGTCCCTCGATTAACCCTCTGAGTGTCACCAATCCAGGGTGTATTCCCCTTGTGAAACCAGCAACAGAAAAAAGGACCAGGCACAAAAACAGGAAGTATGGTCCAAGACAGTGTTTTGACTCACATAAGCTTGCAAAAATTTCTTAAATGTGCCGAAATTGCTGTATTTATTTCTTCAATAGATCTACCTTGGACTACAATTGCTTATTTTGTCAACTGAGCCAGTCCTATCCGGCTGTATACTTTGTGAGTTTGGAGTATTACACTATATACCTACTTTTATTTTCAGACTATATTACACCGTATTGTTTTCTCTTTTTGTCACTGTACAGATTTTACTGCATATCAGTCCTTGAATACATAAAGGTAAGTGTTTTATGTTTAGTGCACCACGATATGCACTGGTGGTAGCTTTGACCACACAGTGTACTGTTTTCCATATGTGATTGTGTGTTTAGTCAAGGACAGCCTTGGGTTTGAAGTGCTCATATAGCACAGAGCACTCTGTCTTCTTGATTTATTCAGAATACTGGATATAATAGAGAAACGGCACAAAGACATCTTGTGGTTTCAATAAACTTTTAAAATAACTTAATAATCATCCTGGCATATCTGTGCTTGATTGATTGATGGACATCACTCAACTTCTGTTTTTGATGGATAGTGATTGCATAGTGATTGTTTCAATGCTGAAAAACCCCATTACTGATCAGGATATACAAACAACTATTGCCTCCCTTTGCACTGGAAAAGCACCTGGCCCAGACGGCCTCACAGCAGAATATTTTAAAATCCTGAAGCCCCAGTTTGGCACTTTTCTTACTCCACTACTCAGTCAAATTTATCTAGATGGTCTATTAGTAAACTCCCTTATCTTGACTCGAACATTCCTTAGATCCAAACCGGAAAGGGATCATAGTCACATGAGCACCTCTAGACGCATACCAGTCCTGAATCGCCACTTGAAGCTCTTGTCTGGGATATTGGTCTCCCATTTCCAGAGTGCCACGAGTACCAGTGTGGTCCACCACTCAAAACTATGTAACATCTACATAGACTATATAAGCTAGACAGAACGTAAACCGGTCCTTAGAATGGCTGGGTTAATACGTTGAAAGACAGAGAATGGTCAAGGGAAAGCCAAGGTCAAGGAAGCCAGGAATACACAAGATCGATAAGGAAAGCCAAGTCAGGGAAACCAGAGATAGAGTGGTCAGGAATAGCCAAAGTCAAAATCCAGATAATCAAATAACAAGAACAAGGAAAACGTACTCTCGGGAACCAGGAACTGAAACCACGACAGGGCATGGTCTAGGGAACTTCAGGGTTTAAATACCCCTGCTTGCTCTGTTATTGATCAGAGCTTGGTCTCTGATCCCAGAACGTGCGTGTGTGTCGATGTTGTGACGTCACACGCACGTTTGCGTTACCTTTGGAGGCAGGGCTACAAATGGCCGTGACCTCGTGGTCAGCACTATTTTGTTTGCAAGCTTGTGGAGGGTACAAAGGCCCCAGCGGGACGGCTTCCGGCTCGCTGCTGAACAGGTAAGTTCACTAACCTGTCAGTGTGGTCGCACCGATTGGGTGCGACCATGTGCAGCCGCGAGCCGGGGGGTATGACACAGAGCTTCCTCCCTAACATATTGACACCACACTTATTGGGGCTCGGTCCTCTGGCTGGATACATTTGTCTGTTGATATTAAATGCAGTGGAGATTTGTCCATTATTAATTTCAATAGATGTTATGTCTTCCTCAGAGGACTCACAAGTTCCTATTTCATATTTTTGTACAAATTGTATCCTGTTTACTTTGTGATTCTATAGATTCTCCAGATCCTCATTTTGTTTTCTGATTGGTGCATATAAAATAATTAAAGAGTGAGGTTTTTTTTGCCTGCCAGACACTAAATCCCATTTCTTGCGGAACTCATTTTCATTTAACCATCTTCTACATAAAATAAACAACAGGTAAATTGCTCCTTTGCTTGCTCGATTTGATGTTCCTTATGAGAGGAACCATGAGTTTAGTGCCTGTGTTTAGTGTTTATGGATAGTAAAAAGTCAGACTATATAAGAAATAAGTATTAACCATTACAGCATGCCGAGGATGGAGCCTAGAATAGAATTCTGTATCATCGAGGAACAAGCATCTCTCCTCCTTGTTAGAGCATCAGAAAACGTCACATGCCGGAGATGGTCCAGCGCCGAAGGAGATTTGGGACTGAGGCTCTGATCATAGAGGCACCCCATCAACTTGTTATCACTCTGCAGTTCATGCCCAGAAGATGTTTTGTCTGTCGGCATGGAATGTGATTCAAATGAATCTTTGTTATAATAAATACCATATTACACTTCAAAGGATACATTGTGAACTCATCTACTGCCAGTTATTAAAAAATAGCATATTTTGACATTAAGGGCATAATACTCACATATGGAATGTAGTATTGCCTTGCCAGAACCAGGTATAAATACAATAAAAGGCATAGAATCATTGAAATTATTACCATTTATATAACACCACAGCGCTTTACAATTATATAAAGGCGTTATTGGAAGACCCTGCTCAAACAATCTATGAGGATTTGACATTGGAAGATATATATTATTAGGCATCTTGTCCAAGTATGATTAATGATAAGTTGGTCTGAGAAGGATTTGGACCTGCTTTTCCCTATTATAAGGTAGTGACATAACCAATGCCCTAATCCCCCAATTAATAATCACCTAAATTTAAAACACCCAGAACCTGTGAAAGGAGCGAGGACGGGTGGCATTTACAATTACAGCCGAGAACGGGAGTGTGAGTGTATTTATCTATCCTACATGTGGACATACACACATGCTTTCTTCAACGTAAGGTTTCAATTAATGATATAAGAATCACTGATGAGGTTTGTGTTTATATTCTAGAGCCATACTTTACCATTGCATAATATTAAAACTGTTGTAAGTGAGGCAGTTCCTGTCAATAACTCTGCACACTGACCTCAAGTCTATGAGTACATTATGAAGGAAAACACAAATAATGAGAGCAAAATGCAGATTGTTCTTAGGTCTGGGAACAGGCAATCCACGGAAATGTCAAGATGTCCTTTAACTACACATAGTCCATGTGAGTTATTTTATACCTCCCATTCACCGCTTCAGAAATCTGGTTACTTTCAAATGCATTAACGATATCAAGGATAAATCTGACTGCCATTCTGGGGTCAAGAAGGAATTTTTTTCCTAGCTTGTTGCAAAATTGTGCTTCAAACTGTTTTTTTTTTGCCTTCTTTTGGATCAACAGCAAAAAACAAATGTGAGGTAGGCTGAACTTGATGGACGCAAGTCTCTTTTCAGCTATGTAACTATGTAACTATGTAACTAAGATTGGTGATTTTAGTTTATAAACCTTGTGATTGATGGATGATGCAATTAGGCAACAATTATAGATATACCTGGTGACTTACAAACACTATGCTGGAGTTTTTATGATGATGTTACCTACATTGTATCAGCGGTTCTTTGCGAGCACAAGGAAGTTGCTAGCAGGTAATATAGACTGCACCATGTACGTGGTGGACCCAAAAAAACTAATATCCATGGTTGTAGGGTTTGAAACAGTGTGCAGGTAACTTCTTGTTGCATAAAGCGTATACAGGTAAATTTAATAGACTATACAGGTAACTTTAGTTGCTCATATGATACACAGGTAGCTTTTATATTTGTTGTGAACTAATATTTTCAAATTAGGACTGGAAATGCCAGTTCTGTTGGAATGTCAGTCCCCCATTCTAACTATGTTTGTGTGCAACCTACGAACTGTTCAATAAGTACATTAGTATACATTTGCTCATGTTCCCTTCCTTTTTTGTTTTACACACCTCTCCAATCCTATATATTGTGTACTTATTCACAACCTCATCTAAATATCTTGCCTTTCATACTGGTTTTTAAAATGTTGGTGAAGAACCTTCAGGGGACCAGAGGGTTAGTCTTGTTGGTCCTTGATATAGATCCAGTGCTGGATGAGGGGGTTACATTGGGATGGAGCTGAAAAATGACACTGGGACTAAATACAAAGTTTGAATTTATGTTTTTGTCACCATGCCCTCCATCTGTATCTAGACTTTGCAGCCCTTTATAAAAATAATCCTGCACACATTTATAAAATGGAAATTTCAGACATATAAAATCAATTTTCACAAGCAGGCTAAGCCACAAAGAGATTTACTGGGAAGGCAAGGGGCACAATGAGTCACAGCCCATTCCATGCATAATGGAAGACAGGAAATCTAACTTATAAGTAAAGGGACTATGGTGCACAGGGAATCCTTCATATGGTTAATAGGGCTAATGGTAATGGGGCACAAGGAATCCTTCATATGGTTAATAGGGCTAATGGTAATGGTGCACAGGGAATCCTTCATATGGTTAATAGGGCTAATGGTAATGGGGCACAAGGAATCCTTCATATGGTTAATAGGGCTAATGGTAATGGGGGGAATCCTTCATATGGTTAATAGGGCTAATGGTAATCACTCCTTCATATGGTTAATAGGGCTAATGGTAATGGGGCACAAGGAATCCTTCATATGGTTAATAGGGCTAATGGTAATGGGGCACAAGGAATCCTTCATATGGTTAATAGGGCTAATGGTAATGGTGCACAGGGAATCCTTCATATGGTTAATAGGGCTAATGGTAATGGGGCACAAGGAATCCTTCCTATGGGCAATGGGGCACAGGGAATTCATCCTTTGGATAATGGGGCACAGTGAATCCATCCTATACGTAGTGGGGCACAGGGAATCCTTCCTATGAGTAATGGGACACAGAAAAACCATCCTATTGGTAATGGGGTACAGGGAATACATCCTATGGGTAATGGGGCACAGTGAATCCTTCCTATAGTTAGTGGGGTACATGAAATCCTTCCTATGGGTAATGGGGAACAAGGAATCCATCTTATGGGTTATGTGGCACAGGGAATCAATCCAATGGGTAATTGGGCACAGGGAATCCATCCTTTGGGTAATGGGGCACAGGAAATACATCCTATAGTTAATGAGACACATGGAATTTATCATATGTGTAATGGGGCACAGTGAATATATCATATAGGCAATAGGGCAAAGGAAATCCTTCTTATGAGTAATGGTACACAGGGAATGCATACCTATTGGTAATGCGACACAGGGAATTCATCCTGTGGGCAACGGGGCACAGGGAATCCATCGTATAGGTAACTGGGCACAGGGAACATATCATATGTGTAATGGGGTACAGGGAATCCATCCTTTGACACTTTAGGATTTACAAGTTTTGTTTCCCAGGATGCCCAGCAAGACCAAGGAAGGTATTTGTGTCTCTCTGGACACAAGCTATGAATTTGATACCCAGCATTTCAGGGCAGCAGCAGATCAGAACACAACACCAGCCACCCTGAGTCTATTGTGTTGCATGGAGCTTAAGCTTTGGTAGCCCCTACGTCTAGATCAAAGCGTATGATAGAATGATTATGTGGCAGTGAAAGAAGGAATATTAGAAAATGAGATGCAGTGAGGAAGGATATCTGAGTGTCTGAAGAAGTTAAATTCTTTAAGGCATTGTAAAAATGTAGACCATATGCTCGCGTTATACATACTTCTATTTATGGGCTGCAGGCACTGCACGCTTAGTGAACAGAAAACAAAAAGCCATTGCTAACAATGTGAATCAAGTAAATAAGTGGGATAATGAGAAACGACATTTTTATTTTATTGGACATTCAATCTGTTCTACTAAACAGAGGATAGCATGATAGCCAAGAGGGATTATATTATGGTGTGCCAACTTGAGTAATAGCATGGTGTGCCAACAGGAGTAATCACATGGTGTGCCAACAGGAGTAATAACATAGTGTGCCAACAGGAGTACTAGAATGGCATGCCAACAGGAGTAATAACATGGTGTGCCAACAGGAGTAATAACATAGTGTGCCAACAGGAGTACTAGAATGGCGTGCCAACAGGAGTAATAACATGGTGTGCCAACAGGAGTAATAATATGGTGTGCCAACAGGAGTAATAGCATGGTGTGCCAACAGGAGTAATAACATAGTGTGCCAACAGGAGTACTAGAATGGCGTGCCAACAGGAGTAATAACATGGTGTGCCAACAGGAGTAATAATATGGTGTGCCAACAGGAGTAATAGCATGGTGTGCCAACAGGAGTACTAGAATGGCGTGCCAACAGGAGTAATAACATGGTGTGCCAACAGGAGTAATAATATGGTGTGCCAACAGGAGTAATAGCATGGTGTGCCAACAGGAGTAATAACATAGTGTGCCAACAGGAGTACTAGAATGGTGTGCCAACAGGAGTAATAACATAGTGTGCCAACAGGAGTACTAGAATGGTGTGCCAACAGGAGTAATAACATAGTGTGCCAACAGGAGTACTAGAATGGTGTGCCAACATGAGTAATAGCATGGTGTGCCAACAGGAGTAATAGCATGGAGTGCCAACAGGAGTCATAACATGGTGTGCCAACAGAAGTAATAGCATGTTGTGCCAACAGAAGTAATAGCATGGTGTGCCAACAGGAGTACTAGAATGGCATGCCAACAGGAGTACTAGAATGGAGTGCCAACAGGAGTAATAACATAGTGTGCCAACAGGAGAAACTGGGGATATGCACAATTTCAGAATAAATTCTTGTGCAATGTTTTAAAGGTGACATTTTGAGGCATGACACTATTCTTTCCAATTGAAACCTGGCCTTCTTTCATTGTTCTTTTGGTTTCAGAGTTGTTGTTGTCGAGGTGGTAAAGAACCCCTGTAGCACTATATTTATTAGGGAGGTTTATATTTAAATGTATTTTTATGAAGGGAATTAAAGAACACCTCAACCTTCCCCTCAGTATTACATATTACATTAACCTCTCAGAATCCCACAGGGAGGAGCAGGACCTGGCTTATTGTTTTCTTATGTTATTAACCCCTTAAGGACCCAACTTCTGAAATAAAAGGGAATTATGACGGAATATTTCCATCATGTGTCCTTAAGGGGTTAAAGAGCCAATTAAACGCCACAGAATGGTAAAGGAGCCATTGTGATGTGGCAAGCCTGCAAGATTGTTATTATTAGCTCTCAATCCACTGCAATCTGAGAGATGTTCTGCTTGCCCCACATGGATAACAGAGAAGCTATTGCAGTAGTTACACAGTCCTTCTATTACATATTATCTTCTGTTTGAACCCATGATCTACTGGGATGAGAGCAAACAACATTGTTTAGCCTCTCTCCCTACTGGCTATTGTGGAGGGTCCTGGGGATCCCCATTTTTATTTGTTTTTGGCGGTTTGTTTATGCCATCATTGGGGCTGTTTATTTATTTTTGTGATATTTCCGGAATTGTTCAGAAATGGAATCAGAGATGAAATCAAAGTTCCATGATGGTGTGGACACATTGGTGACTTTGCACACTGCTGTGACTGACCTCCAGCAACCAATGATTGAATTCTTTAAGGCTTACATATCCTCCACTTTTGTGAGTTTGACATTTAGCTATCATTATTTTTCCGTTTTATAGTGTATGGACCTTTGATGCTTGTTAGAGTTTTAAAGTGTTATAATGTTTTCATTAAACATCCAAACTAACCAGTTTTCTGCCCACTTTATAATACTGTCAGGGTTTCATTGATGCATCAACCATCAACCAGTTAGAAATCGGCATAGTTGGCCAATAAATGTATCACATTTACTTTACTTATCTTTGGACTCTCACAGTATGCTTAAAAGAAAAAATAGAAAACTATAGATATATCCTTTACACAACAACACAAACACAAGAAGCTGGGCTGTCATAAAACAGGTCAATTAAAGCTCTGTGTTTAGTATGAGCATCCGGACAGCATATACTGGTTGGTGATAATTACAAGGACACTAGCGTACAGGATTATGGTTCTGAAATTAGGTCTGGAGGTGGAGAAAAATACATCCTGTCTTCCTTAATTATGTCCCTGCCTACATTTCTTCTTTTATCTCCAAATACCTCCCAGCCCACGCTTGGTGCTCAGCTCATAACTCACACCTCTCTCTCCACTAAATTCTGTCTTGTATTCTCAACAAAAAAAAACCCCACAAGATGTAAAGGGGACATAATGACTAAGAAGCTGTCAAGTCATGTTCAGTTTAACATAAACAAACACAAATAGTTAATTTGGCTTGTTAGTGACAATAACTGTATCTGGACAGAATTTGTGTGATGCACACATCAAGTAAGGGAACATTCCCACCAGGATTCTCCAGAAAGGGAGAGCAGATCCCAAGAAGCCACTGGAAAGGAGAAAGAAGTAGAAAGAAGTTGCCGCAAACAGGCAGACTTTTATTAAGGCACATTGTTCAAAGGCTTGTTTTAGGGTCGAAACGTTGCTGTACACGGCTCCTTAAAAATGTCTGCCTGCAGGAGGAAACTACTGCGTGTTTCTTCCTACTTTCAAATAATTGTATCTGTGTGGTTCACTATTAAAATATTCAGTGTGGATAAACCCTAGCCTTAAATAAAAAATGGAGTTAGGGGTACCTTGTGTCCCCCTAACCATAACAACCCTTAACACTTACCCTAACCCATCCTAAATCTGACAGCAAATACAAACAGTACATTTTGTGAATGTTGTGTAATATTGTTGGGCTCTCATAAATGCAGTGACACCATGTAGACAATTAACATGAAAGAGTCAATTTCGACACCAACCATTTATAAGAATACCAGTCTGTGTATACATGGTTTATGATTGTCAGTGAAAATAAAATGGAAAACAGACAATAAAAACTAGGAGTCACCGATTGCACCGTTTACTACGGCATATGATATACATACTTAAATGATGGTGTGAGCTTTGCGTTACATTCCCCTTACATGTCACCAGTGAAATTTGTAGCGCAGTTTGTGAGTTTTTAGCATCCAAGTGCAATGTAATATACCCTTGTCCAGACCATCTTGCACTTTGTATACTTTGCTATACTTGTACACAGCCCTAAGTGATTTTCCACCAGTCTCCAATCTCTTATGGCATCCTTAGAAAGGAAGAGATGAAGCAACGTCTGCAGCCCAATAAATAACTCCAACTCTACAGTGAAACAAAAAACAAGACTTCACTAAATGTGTCTTATGTGGTCCTCATTTAGTCTACATGTGTTTACCCCTTATAGAGTGCCTAGTGATTCCAGTTGGGTGGCTCAATCAAACTGTCAAACAATCTGTGAGCACTTCTGATCAGGATTGTAGCCTGACAACAATACATCTAACACTTGCGTTGATACTTAATATCGTAAAGTCTATGGACGAGGACCACACATGAACATCTATCTGTGGGGTGATTTCCACATAAACAATAATATAATTAATAGGTCAACTCTAATGGACTGCTGTGTAGAAGAATTACTAAGATGAAGAGTTACGCATATGGTATTGGAATGTTTTGCATACAATATATATATATTTTTTAATATGTTTGTTTCGTATTTTGTGTAGGCTATCGTTCCTTTTTGGATTTGCATGAATTTTGTTCATGGAATTTTTATTTTGTGTGTGGTTGTCTTGAGGGCTATTTTGTTTTAGGGCTCTATGTTTCAGTTGTTTTGTTTAGTTTGCTTGGTTGAGTAAGAAATCCTGCTCTGTAAGCCACTAATTCATAACGAATGGTTCTAGTTACTAAAAAAACAAGTCATATCGAGCTGAAAAAAAGACGTGGTAGCTCTGTGCCAAAATAGCTATCTTATAAAACTTGTGAAACCCATCTTCTAAAAGAGATATGTTGGCATGTCCATGGCCAGAAGTAATGTACTCACAAGCTTAGCCTTTTAGATTCACTGTAATAAATGGTAGCAGGACATTAAATTCTGCCACTTTGTGTAACAGACGTGCAATAAAATCTATTTGGTTATTATATATATATATATGTTGTTCGTGTGTGCCCTTGTTTGTCTACATTGGATTTGGTTGAGCAGTAAGGCTAGGAATGAATTTGTCTGAGATTTTAAATAAATCTTGGAGTGCGGTGTGATGAGTGCTGGCTTTGGAAGATATGAAACAATGGAATCCACCTGGACGTGTCTCAGTGAATCATTCACTTCCAGCATTCCAGAAACTCTGTTTTTAACATGAAATCCATGGATCCCCCTCACCAAGATGGATCGCCTTCCTGCCTTAATATTCATTCCTTTACAGCCGCAAACCATGAGCTGTATTGTATAAATACTGGTTAGAGAGGTGGGCAACTGTTAGCCTAGCGAAACATGGGACAAATGTCACATTATGGATTTATTAAGAAGTCAAACATGCTGATAGCCGTTTGGCCTGGCCTGGCCTGGCCTTCCCTTTACTACATACATTTGTTGAAGGACTAACCAACTAAACCACATATAAAACAGCAGTATGTAAGGATATATTTGTATGGGAGATGCTTCCTGACTACGTAGTTGCATTTTATCCAAGACACCCATGTGGTCACAAGTGGAACTGCAAGTAAGTAAAGTAGATTTAAATGTCTGCTGTAAGGTTCTCTTACTCCTCCGTCAGCCTCTGCCTGGTAGAGACAGTTATTAGACTAATAAAGTCACATTTTGACTAAAATAAACTAGTTTACACAAAATGCTGCCACTTTCAAATGGCAATGTCAGTGTACTCTGACAGTCAGCTCAAACCTCGTCAGTGTGAGATCTCTGGATGTTGCTAAGTTAAAATGCCCGTAGCTGTGTCTGTGCATTGTGTGAGTTGTAGATCAGCTTGTAGCTTTGTCTGTGCATTGTGTGAGTTGTAGCTCAACTCTAGCTTTGTCTGTGCATTGTGTGAGTTGTAGATCAGCTCTAGCTTTGTCTGTGCATTGTGTAAATTGGAGATCAGCTTGTAGCTTTGTCTGTGCATTGTGTGAGTTGTAGATCAGCTTGTGTCTTTGTCTGTGCATTGTGTGAGTTGTAGATCAGCTCGTAGCTTTGTCTGTGCATTGTGGGAGTTGTAGCTCAACTCTAGCTTTGTCTGTGCATTGTGTGAGTTGTAGATCAGCTCTAGCTTTGTCTGTGCATTGTGTAAATTGGAGATCAGCTTGTAGCTTTGTCTGTGCATTGTGTGAGTTGTAGATCAGCTCGTAGCTTTGTCTGTGCATTGTGTGAGTTGTAGATCAGCTCGTAGCTTTGTCTGTGCATTGTGGGAGTTGTAGATCATCTTGTAGCTTTGTCTGTGCATTGTGGGAGTTGTAGATCAGCTCGTAGCTTTGTCTGTGCATTGTGGGAGTTGTAGATCATCTTGTAGCTTTGTCTGTGCATTGTGGAGTTGTAGATCAGCTTGTAGCTTTGTCTGTGCATTGTGGGAGTTGTAGATCAGCTCGTAGCTTTGTCTGTGCATTGTGTGAGTTGTAGATCAGCTTGTAGCTTTGTCTGTGCATTGTGTGAGTTGTAGATCAGCTTGTGTCTTTGTCTGTGCATTGTGTGAGTTGCAGATCAGCTCGTAGCTTTGTCTGTGCATTGTGGGAGTTGTAGATCATCTTGTAGCTTTGTCTGTGCATTGTGTGAGTTGTAGATCAGCAATTATAGTAGAACATTTCATTGTTCTCTGTTACTTTATGTAACTACAGCACAATCTCATTTACCGATTGAAAATAACCAGTAAAAATATTTAGTTAGAATAAATCATTCAAGAAAGTGAACATGTTGTTCTTCTGCATTATCCAAACATTCCGAGAGGTTGAGCAGGGCTCGGACTATGTACAAGAGCATTCTGTTACGTGTCCCTAGATAATTTATTTGTTTAGATCTACAAGTCAGATGTAACTGAATGGCTCTTGAGAATTGCCAAATTCTGACACTTTTAACTCCAGTGAAAGGCCGACCTAGTTGATATGGCATGTATTCCCAATTCTACATCTGCAAGTGATTTAAAAACAACAACAAAAAGATAGAAAACTAAAAGGAGGGTTTTTAACCCTTACCTCTTCTCACAACTGCTAGGTTTCATCCGTAAGTGATGCGGATATTTCATAATGCTAAGGCCTCTTTTATTTTAACGCTTTGGTCTGCGATTATATTAAACTTGGCGTGCAAAAATACAGCAAAAACTGTTTTGTGATTTTATTGCCAGTCACCATATTCAACCCCCATTCTCCTCCATTTAATAATTATTTTTTAAGGGATGGTAAAGATGTTAAAGATTTAACCAATGACAAGCCACCGCTGGAGACATTAAAAAAGGCACAAGACTTACCGAATCCCTCAAAAAAACACTCAGTTCACATCAATCTGTCAAGGATTTACAACTTGTTCTGTCCCTTAAATGATCTCTATGCTTTCTTTTCATAAACCCCACAGGGATAAAAAACTATAAAAATGACTCATTATTAATATAAATCAACTTTTCCACTCAGGGTCAACAATGCTGAGTTTCAAGAGTGGAGGGTTGGCTAAATATTAAAAAAAAAAAAAGTCAAAAAGGTAGAAAAAAATATGACAAATGGCATTGTCTGCTTGTTGGAATTCTCGACATGATGTTTTCATTCAGTTGCAGAAGCTGATGGAATCGATGTAGACAGTTTTCTAGCTATTACATTACCAACAGCCGCAATGTATCAAGTTAGAATCTGTAGACTTAGAGTTGAATTTAAATTTCTGGTGCCTGTGGGCACTGATTCTCCCGCACCTATCCCTCCAGGCAATAAAATATATTTTATAAAACCAGACGCCCATCAAAAACTATTTCTAAAATATATGCGTATAGAAGTTTTTGCCCAGCACTAATTCTGAGTATTTCTATTAAAGGATGAGTTCAGCAGTAAATGGTATGCTTGGGGTAACTGAACACACCCACTTCTTTATGATATAATCATAAATACATTAATCTGATTCTTGATCAACAAGCCTTATAATATGACGCTAGAACAGTATCAACGGAATAATTAGTTGTGTACTGCAAAATATGTTGTGGGTTTAGAAATGAAATGATATAAATGATTACGTAGCGGAGTGCTCTGTCCTCAAACTTCAGCACAACCTTCTTAAAGACAATCTCTCATAACAAAATAAGAATTCACTGATAGACTGTAAAAGCCACATTATCAGAAAATCTATGGGAGAAGATGTCATTGTATGACTGTGACCTATACCTCCAGTTTGTTGGCATGGACATATAACATGTAGCTATGTTAGACCTAGAGATCAGAGGGTGACCTGACAGTGCTCCCAGTAATGCTCTGAAACATTCTTTAAACATGTGAGCATTATTATCATTATTATTAATGAGAACCTTTGAAACTACGGTGGTATTTTGTGGCTGCAAATGTGTACTGGTTGTATCTGATAGTATGAAGCCTCAGTGTTACACATTTTGATAGAATATTTACTTTACTACATTATTTCATTTACACTATTTATAAAACATTTGGCTTATTGAATTTATATTGACACTGACAGCCTGGCCATCATTATCTAACTAAGACAAATCACTTGCTCTTTTGTGAACTTTTCCAGGATACGCTGTGCTAAAGGTCACTTGTTGCTTTACATTTGTCTTATATAACCAGCTGAGATCCGGTTCTAAATATTTCTGAACAAACTGAGAATACAAGCCATCGTTTGAAAACTAAAGGTAAAAATCGGAATTGTTAAAAGAAGCCTTTTGTTAGTACTTGTTGCTTCTTCCTGTTGATTTAGTAAGGAACTGACTGTATCTTCACCATGTCACTGTTAATGTTTACTGTACCTGATTCACAGGGTCCGTCATGAACAACTGTAAGATTGGCGTCTGGTTGTGCATTGGCCATCTCGTTAAATTTACACAGCTGGAGATACGTCTTCCCATCGGATCCACAGACAGCTGTGTTAGATAAGCAGGCACACTGAGGTTCTGGGACTTCCCCATGGCTAAGGTCCCCCATGTCTAGCTTACATTCCAAATTGTTCCCACATTTCCCGTAGAAGTGATTGGTATTATCCAAGTCACATATCTGTCCTTCTAAATTTGCGCATTCTAAGCAACAGTCACAAGTGTCTCGCACCATCCCAGCAAGACAACCTCGGGGAACTGGACACTCTTCCGGATTACAGTCTGCGCAGTTCTCCCCTTCTTCCAATAGTCTTTGCCATCCACGTTGGAGGTAGTCTGGGGCACTTGGTAATGCCAATCCCGGAAGTATTTGTAGAAGAGAAACAATAAGCAGGATGAACAGTTCAGGAGAAAGCCACGTGACATATTTAGACATTTTCATGAGTTGTCCTTGACCACACAGCTTAACTCCATCACTTGCACGGTCATAGCTTGGATTTTTGCATTTTTTTGGTCCCAATAAATCATGTGGCCAGTTCCATGTCTCTAAAATACAAACAGAAACAGCTCTTTTATTTCCGCTACTGTGCATACAATATTTATTTAGCTTTTAAACACCTAAGAATAGCATAAACTACTAAAATAAATCTGCAATGACCTGTTATGAATGGTACTTTAACAACACGTGCGTTGTTCAACATTTAAATGAACACTTTAGTGACAGGACAACAAACATGTTATTATAGTTATAAAAACATATTTAGCCTCCCTGTTCGAAAAGTAAAAGGTTATTTTATTTGCCTTTCTTCCAGTGCCGCATGGGTCCGTCGTGGTTGGCTCCGTCCACACAAACAATTAATTGCTTTCCCATTGGAAAGCTTAGGAAGGCTATTGTTCGGCAAAATTATGTGATGCACCAATCAGCATTTCCTAATAGAGGTGCAAAGCGTGGAGACACTGGCGTCAGTACTGCACACTGTGCAGCACTGGACTAGACAAGAACTCAAGTGAATGTCTGAGTGACTGTCAGTGAAGGTGTTACTAGGCTGCATTGTAAACACTGTCTTTTCTCTGAAAAGGCAGTGTTTACATTGAAAATCCTGCAGGGACAGGTTACTGACACCATAACAACTACATTAAGCTGTAGTTGGTCTAGTGACTATAGTCCCTTTCCGATACTCCTTTTTAAAGTCATTTTTTTTTTAAGTTCTAATTACTGACCATACCACAGCGCAGAAGACTTCCATCTACACATCCAGTTTTATTTCTACTTTTGTTGAGATGCATACCAGCGTGGTCTAAAATGGTACGGCACTCACACCTTCCTTCTGCAGTCTTTGACATGAATTCCTTCCTGGTTTCCCAATATAACTGACATTTGTTCTCCGTTAACTAATGATGTAGTTGAATACTAGGAATGCTATTGCCAGATGACATGTCTTATTTAATTATTTATTGACCTTGGGATTGGAAGTGACTCTTCTAGAGTACGGATAAATCTCCTGTCACTTAGAACCGTGAAGCAGGAGGACAGGCTCACCAGCTACGTGCAGTAACTCAATATGGTGAGCGCCGTGAAGATTCCATAACCAACTGAGGAATGCTTTGCTTACATTTTCTAAGTGACTGTAGGGCAATTTTAGAGTGTTAAATGCAAAATAAATAAATCGATGTGTTAATGCTGTCACACTTTATGTTTCTATAAATGCATTAATTATAAATAAATGAAAAATAATAAACTTTAATTGTTACCTTTTCATAGGAAGAGTGTGGCAATTCTAATTGGTTTCCTTACTATTAAGTAAAGGTTACTTGCAAAAATAAGAAAAGGGGAATAATCGTAAATCTTGGAAGGGTCACTCCAGGGATAAGAACCATTACAGTCTGCCGTAGTGATTATGATGCCAGGAGTACCTTGGTCCGATTCCCTGGGGCAAACCTTTTAGCAATCACTGGGCTCCCCGGCTCCTAGTGTCTGCTGACGCACGTCCGGGTTCTGAAGAGCTGATCCAATTGCCATTCATTGGCTAACAGCAATACATGGCACACATTAGCACAGAATTGACATTAGTTAGCCTGGAACTCTTGGGGTAAGATATGCAGAGGAAGTAAGAAGAAACATACTTACCTATCGTTCTATGGTGCCCTGTATGTATGTCACAGTTTGTCTATGATTCACTCATTGTTCAAGGGACACATACAGGAAGTCATGAGATATCTGACTTTTGCATCAAATGTCTGATTACACTAGTAAGAAAGGAATAAATAAAATGCGGAACTGCAGCTAAATTGCAAACTTTTGCGTAAAACCAAAAATGTTACCTGTACACTATCCCAATCCCTATGCACATTTAAACAGCTAGAACCTTTTAGTATCACGCCAGTGGCATCCAATCAAATGGCAAAATGTAACCAAAAACATCTAATGTGTACATTTTCACCAACACTGCTTTAGTCAGATGTGTCTATGTTTGCCTAAAATGTGCACTAAAATTCAAAGTGTAGTTGAATAAACCTATAGTACAATAAAAATAGAGAGAAATTATTTCTCCTAAGAGTAACCCCCTCCCCCCAAGATGTGCTTCAGCCCACTGTGTGTTATCACAGAGGAATTCGCACTGTTTGCCTTTAAGATGGTCTGATTATTATATTTATTTACACTCAGAAGATTGACTTGACCATAATTATTGCAGAGCACAGGTTGTTTTTGCACATCAATTCATCCAAAAAGGCTACTTTGTCTTAAAAGAAAAAAAAAAGTGGAGGCAATTTCACAGATTTTGACTAACGAGCTCGGCGCATGCACAGTGACATTCTCAAAGCTCAATTCAGCAGCCCTGTGCTGTGTTTGGCAACAGTCACTAGAGTTTATTAGAATGAAAACGAGATCTGGAGTGGAAAAATAAAATCCCAAATTGGCAGCCTCCGTCTCCAGACTAAGGACGTCTGCCTATAGAACCAGGAAATTCTTAGCATAGCAAAGGCAGCGTACATTGAATAATATAAAAATAAAACGTTGAATAACATTGGGAGCCTATGTATAGAATAAAATGGAATGGACATTTGATGTGTAGGGCAATTACCGGTGTAGATTGTTAACTGTGCTTTTAGTGTTTAAAAAATAAATAAAGAGATCTATATGGAACAGAAGAAATATTTAACATGATGGACAGTCAGAAGGCGAAAACAATCTGGTTCTAATTGAAAGTTCTATATAAACATACAGAAGCAATACAAGCTGTTACAGAGAAAGATCAAGCTCTTGTCTGTCTAGATTCAACTTCTCTTACTTTTCTGGAGAGGGCTATCTAGCAAAAATGGCAAAGCAGTTCGTGTTGTAGTTCTGCAACGTCTGGGGTCTACCTTGAATTAGAGTCCTGTCACTCTTATACACTGTATCACTGGCCAGATCTGTGAAAGGATAACTCAATTAAATGCTTTATCTGATCCAGAGACTTTATCCCTTCACACCTCTCTCTGGATTACATTAGGATCTCACAGTAGCAGAGGGGGTTTCACTCCTTATTCTACCTTTTACCCACACTCACAGCTGGAGTGAGTGACAATCCCTGTGTGTATGGCACTTTAACTGAGGGGTTTATCAACTAAACAGCACATGTCAAAACAGAAAACTGCAAAACATTATCCAACTCTGCTGAATTATATAGAATTATAAAATAATTAAATCCTGCTAAATTATAAAATATATAATTATAAAACGATCCAACTCTGCTGAATTATAAATTTGTTCTCCAAACCCTCTATTTTAGTCTCAATTTTGCAAGCTAGTCATTTACTAACCACACTGCCTTGGTAAATGGAGCCAATGGCTTCCTGTTACAGTATGATGTCCAAATATAACCCATAATAACATGGCATAATATATGTGACTATACACCCAGAATTCTAGAATAACTCCCAAAATACAGCTCTCAGTGTCTGCAGGAGAGAGAGAGAGAGAGAGAGAGAGAGAGAGAGAGAGAGAGAGAGAGAACCCACAGCATCACAGCCCATCACCAGAGCATTCACACGGTTAACCACCAGTTAACCACCAGTAAACAATGTATTTGTTTATCACATAAATCAAATGATTCCTTAACCCTTTCATTACACTAGAATGCTCTGATCAATATGTTAACACCATGGAGAAATACATTAGATTGATACATTTTTAGACAAATTGGTCTATTAAATTCTAATTATTACACTCCTTGGGGTAGAGAGATTTCCCTTAATGTTTACAAAGAGTAAAAGTTTTATAAATGTAAAAGATCATACAGACCATGCCATACTGCAATCAATGTAATGCAGGGAGCCAGGCAGACCTCTGGATCAGTCTGGGCATTTGTGTCATATCTTAAGGGGGGAGGGGGGAGGGGGTTATTTCACTAACCCCCAGGGGGGAGGGGGTTATTTCACTAACCCCCAGCAGCGAGGAAAGCTCTACCAGTTGCTTATGCTGATGGCTTGCCGAGATTGATGAGAGTTGTAGTGTTTTAACAAATGGAGGTAACTGAATACCCCTGTATAATGCACAGCTCCCAGTGACCGTGGCATGTGCTGTATAAACGAATATAATAGGAGTTCATTTACTCTCATGGTTTACACTGAGTGGATGGAAGTATCAGTGCGTATAGCAGGAGTATTACAAATAGGAGCAATTCTAGAATGACATTTACTGTTTAGCCTGTTAATAATGTTTCCCTTCCAGTAACAAGTTCTGAGTGGTTAATAATGTTTCCAGTACTGCAAGAACTAAAACATACTGACCCGTTTCTCCATTACAGTCATGATTTGGGACTTACCTCCAGCAACTCCCCAGCTGAGGGATTTCCAGTAAGTGGTTCTGTCTGTGAGACAGGCGCAGTGCTGGCTGACAGTGATGCGTCTGTGAGACAGGGGTTCTGCTGACTGCCAGTGATGTGTCTGTGAGACAGGGGTTCTGCTGGCTGTCAGTGATGTGTCTGTGAGACAGGGGTTCTGCTGGCTGTCAGTGATGTGTCTGTGAGACAGGAGCAGTGCTGGCTGCCAGTGATGTGTCTGTGAGCCAGGAGCAGTGCTGGCTGTCAGTGATGTGTCTGTGAGACAGGAGCTGTGCTGGCTGCCAGTGATGTGTCTGTGAGACAGGAGCTGTGCTGGCTGCCAGTGATGTGTCTGTGAGCAAGGAGCTGTGCTGGCTGCTAGTGGTGTGTCTGTGAGACAGGAGCAGTGCTGACTGTCAGTGGTGTGTCTGTAAGCCAGGAGCTGTGGTGGCTGCCAGTGATGTGTGTTTGAGACAGGAGGTGTGCTGGCTGCCAGTGATGTTTTGAAGGGTTGCAAGCTCTGCAGTGGGAGAGATTGCTTTCCCAATACCCTTTATACTGTCTCCTGTTTGAATGAGAACTTGTGATGTCAAAGTGTAATGTGATTCCTCACAGACCCATCCCCCCTGTCCACAGACCACTGTTAAATATGTTTTTTTTTCTTCTTTCGTTTCTTTTTTTCTAAGGGCACTTAAATGCATATACTAATATTTCTATGTCCTTGTATGAGTTTTTTTTTTAATATATTTCCTCCTTATAATGTGGGGTAAGATTTATATCACTGAACAAACTAACACAGCACCTCTCTGTAATGTAAACTGAATGACAATGGTCCCAGGCTCTAGTCTCTGCTAAAATATATGTGAAAGAGGACCTGTCATGTTCCAAACAACTGGCGCTCATTAGATTGATCATATAATTCTATCCGCGCTTCGTGCTAGCAGCTTTATGGGCAAATGTATAGATTAGGAGAAAAACATATTTAAAGATAGTATTTTCTCCCAGCTGTCAGCCAATGACGCAACGTAGCAAGGAAATATCTCCCACAAGAGGTCCTTCTGCTCTCCAACCATAGCAACCACAGCACAAGCACCGTGGTTGCTATGGAAGCTCCCTGGTCTGCCCTTCTACCGCTGGCTAGGTAGTATAGGAACGGAGTAAGGTGATGTCCCTCCTTCAATGCCGGAACACTGGCAAAAAATCCAGCATAGACATCACTATATTAACATTAAATACATTGTGTATCTTTGTGATGTATGGTGTATTCAAAGTATACGGGAGTGATTTCAGGTAAGTACATTTTTTTCACAACTGGTTCACTTCTTTCGCATACTTTATGATGGAATGCACCGTGTCTTGCAGTGTTCTGGCAAATACGCGTTCCAAATTCCTGATCTCAGTCTTGGATTGATCGATAACATAATGAGCCATTGGCTGGATCCACTATGGCACCTAGACAAGAGTTAAAATGCAGCCATTGTTTTATGCAACATGCTAGCAAGAAATGACTGTTTCCTAACGTTCTAACAGGCTGAGTGTTAAATCCACAACACAAGAAAAACAAAAGGTACAAAAGTAATACAAAGTATACTTATCAGCAATAAATAAACAGCCTCCCACAGTTCACCTCCCAAGTAGTGGTCTTAACAAGTCATAGAAATATACCCACATGTGAGAGTTAAATCCCACCCGATGTAGATGTAGATGGACAAGAGTGTTAATATATAAAGTAGGCCAAACAAGTTAAGAAATATGCAACGTCATTTATTTCTATAGTTTTATAATAGAAGACCTCACTCATCTACTAATCATGTTTATTTAGGTGCTTTACGAGGTAACCGAAGACTTCTGGGAAGATTTATCAAAGTTTTCTGAAAAGAGAAGTTTAAATTCTGGCGATAAATCATTCGTATTTATTAGAGTGTTTCTAAAAGTGATCTAAAAAGTCAAGGTTTTCTTAAATTCCGTCAGTTTTTGCAGGAATTTCAATTTCGGAAGACCGCCAAATTAAGAGTGGAGAAAAAAAGAGAAGTGAAATCGAAGATTTTTCAGTCGGAAAAACAGTAATGATTGAAAAAACTGTTGTGTTGCTGAAAATATGTACTAGCTTTGCATATTTCAAATAAATGCTACGCTACTCTTAAATTTTAATTAAATGCACTTGGTAATGAAGATAGCAAATACGCAGAGCTAGCAATTATTTAAATAAGTGTTGGGTGTATGTCCGTTTAAACCTTAATCTTTTTATCAAATGATTTCCGAAAGCGAGTTTGAAGTTATCATGTGCTATCTACATTTCTCTATAATATTATTAATATTATTGGTATTTATATAGCTCCAACTTACTCTGCAGCTCTTTGCAATATTATGAAAGCGGGTAATTTAACAATAAATGTGACAATTACAAAATGGTACAGGAATAATAGATAGATGAGGATCCTGCTAAATTGAGCTTACATTCTATTGACATGATAATTGCAAAACATAACAGTTTTAGGGGTTAAAGTAAGTTCCCTTTTTTTTATATTCTAAAAATGTTCCTTTTAAAACAAACTGGCACTTTGATAAGCCTGCTTAGTAAAACGAAGGCAGAAGTCGGAAGCGTTGAATTGGCCAAAGTTGGATTGGCCAAAGTGCAAGGAAACTGCACTAGAATATTATCTTCCTGATAGATTACAGGTAAGTAACATATTTTAGGTGCCCTAAATATAAGATAGAACAGAAATATAAGAAAAAAATTTAATTATTGATAAAATTAGTGTTCCTTTAACTACGGAACATAGAAAAAAATTAATTGTATTTTCTTGACATCAGTGACTGTTACATTTACGTCACAGGCCATAGTGAATTATCCAAAACCAAGCATTAACAAATAAAGACAAGTATTCAATCAAGTTTTACGTTGGTTGGGACTGCCCACACGTCGCTCCTTTCATCATATTTCCCGTGGTAATTATTTTCCTTCCGATATAATCTTGTAATTATGATTTTTTTTTTTTTTTTACAAGGCTAACTGCATTTCATGCAAAATTAGCAACAAGAAAAATGCAAGCTCATGAGGAGAGTTGGAGAAAAAAACTAAACTCTTATATCAGCAATAAAACTGCAAATTTATGTTTGAAAAATTCATTAAACAGAATTAAACTACAGCCTTGTATGGTTTGTGCATTTTGCTTACATCATTTGGTATAATGATCAAAGGCATCATGTTCACTGATCACCACTCTAAGTAAATAGGGTTAGTAATAGTTGAGGTCAACCCCCTTGTTATCCCACAACAAATGGTTACAAATGAAATGTTACAAATTAAAGAAATATGGAGTGTGCTATGATGCTTACCTTTCATAATCTGTTCAGCAAGGTTTTATGTGGTCTGAATGGATTTATAGTCCTGAAAATAATATTGTGTTTTTTTTGGGGGGGAACTGTGAGTTTCCTGCTATTACCTTAACCTATGGCCACCCCCCTTTTCTTTAAAAATGTTAAGCCAATATTTTTTATCTACCTTGACATCAATGTTACAGCCACCTGATCCACCTCTGTCTTCATCAGCAAGCATGCTGACGTTGCCTGGTTTCTCACCCAATGCAATGATTCTCATAAAGTTAGCCCTAAATATTTTCACATAGCTGGTGTTATCCTTAACTTTTAACTAAAAAAAATATATATTTTGGGCAGGATAAAAACATTTGAAGTTTCCAGTTGCCCTACATATCTCATGAGGTCAAATTATGACCTATAATTAATTCTTGGAAATAGGCACACAAATAACATAAAATAAAAAATTTAAAAAGAGACAATGTAACTGAAAAAAAAAACAGCTAATGCTAAAACATCTGCACAGCTAGGCAGCAACGGAAGTACAGCACTGATTTGAAACTCCCTGTTGTCGCCATGGTAAAAAACCCATGTTATTGGCTGGACTCTTCAAGATAATATTCATAGTATTTTTTCTCCTTTCTCTCCGGGTTAATAGGAGTCAAATAAAAACAACAATAAAAAAGGCTGCGCCACAATAGATAATAGAAGATATAGAAGATAAAAGAGAGGGACAACCAATAGTGCAAAAATTGTCCCTCTCTTTTATCTTCTATATAAGTGGAACCACTGCAATATATGAAGACCTCATAATTGCACTAAACTCCCTAAAGACCATTCGTAAGGACACATAAGTTGGACTTTGTTTTATTTGGACTTTGCTTATCTTCTATTATCTATTGTGGCGCAGCCTTTTTTAATGTTGTTTTTATTTGTCTTGTTTTAAAGGGTTTGGAGGGATTCCCTTTTTGCTGCCTGTGAGTTGACCAGCGCTGTCTCTTCCTCTTACCATTCCTAATAGGAGTCAAAGCCTGAAGAAAAAGCTTAATTTTTAAGGATGTTATCCTGATGAAAGTTCTGTATTAGAACTGAAACGTCGATTCTGTGTGGCAGCTGCTGAATAAAAGCTAAGTTTTTTTCACCATATACATTTTTGAAGTCCTTGGAGTGCTATTACCTACTACTTTGTTTTATATATATTTATTTATTCAAATATTTATTTATTTATTTTTTATTTTTTGCAGCACACTGATTGGCCCATTTTCACAACCTATTTGTTCAGTTTCTGAATTACAATTTTTGCCCCGAAAATCTGCAGAGCCATTTTAACATATTTTTTATGTGTTTGAAATTTTCTACTTTTGGAAAAATTGGTTTCGGCCGCACTGAATTTTCTCACCGTGCAGACATTTAATGGGGATATAACTTTTCAATTGATGTACAAAAAAACAAAAACCGTTGATGGCCTGATGGCCCAGAGCATCTCTCTAAGCTCTTCTGAGATAGTTAGTAAGTACCTTTTGCAATGGCATTAATATGAAATCAACTTACTTTAAACGTCAATCGAGTCAGATGCAATGAGAAATTCTGCAAATGGTGGATATTATTATCCCAACTCTGTTATTTTGTGTATATTGGTTGCAAATGCACCACAATTCAGTTTTGATGAATTAACTCACATTTATGTTGAAACATATCTGCTTTTTTTGTTTAAATTTTTCCTTCATCTTTTTTAATTCCTAAATTTCACTACATGACAGGAGGCTTCATATTTTGCTTAATCTTTCTTTACTAACTCCATTATAGCAGCAAAGGAAAGTAGTGAAAAACTGAGAACCAATCAAACACAAGTAATGTATATAAGAGGCGTGTATAACTGAGTCACTGCCTCTTTCTTTGCTGCTCCATCACAAGTTAAGTACAGAGTTTTGGTTCTCCTCTCTCTGTTTGTATCTTATTCTTTTTGCTTTTCATTCTTATAGTGTTATTTACTTATTTTCACGTCCCTACCACCTTAGGTGGTCTCTATTTTAACGTGCTACTTTGCTTTACTCTTGTTTCAGGGACCCTTCCTGGGACCCTACCCTGAGTACTGTTTATTGGTTTGTTTCCTTGTGTTTATTTTATGTTTATCTATGTTTATTTGTTCCCCTCACCTGTAGGGGACATTGGGGGTTTCTTCCCCTTCTCTCTAGTTTGTCCCCTCTTTCCTCTGGGGTCCGCCTGCTCTCCCTGCGCCTGTTTCACCCCTTTACTCCGTTTTCCCTACGGGTCGCAGGAGAATTGGACCTCGTTCGTCAGCTTCCACTGAACTGATCCTATCTCGTGTTGATCGCCGTACTCGCGCACAAACACTTGATATACAAGCGTTCGTCTGCGGGTGTTCGCATACACGAACTGAGCGTTTTCAGAAAGCGAGTCAATACTCATACGAACGCTTGGGTTATAAGCTATCGTGTTCGCTTTGTTACCTTTCTAACCCGTTTGCACGCTTTTTCGCATGAAATTCCTCCCGAACGACTGGGAGCTCCTCTGGTTCCTGCGTTTTGCCGTGGGCTGGCATACCAGCGGCCATTTTAAGTTTATGCTATTTTCACTGCTATTACTACTGTGGATCCATTTTGTTCCTGCTATTTCAAGCTTCTGCTGCTCCTATTGCTCATTACTGTGGTATACACTTTGGGACCAGGCAACAGGTTAGTGCTCTGCACTTGGGGGTCAGTGACCCTTATACTGGTTCCTGTGCTGCCGAACAGAACCTGTCCATGCAGGTTCCTGATTACCTGGGTGAGCCCCAGTGACACACTACAGCCATCTTCGTCTGTTCTTCAATCGAACACGGTTGCTGACTCAGGCTACACTATACCTACAGGCATACCACCCCTCAGGTCCCTAGGCCTCAACTATCCTCAGTGCAAATTCCACTCTGCCCTCACGCTTGGTGTCTCTGGGTGAGCCCCATAGTAAGCCAACATGGAAAAGTCACAGATTCCTACTGAAATAAAGGTCATGAATGCCGCTTCTCTATGGAGAAGGCTTTCTTTCACACCTTCACTCCAAGAGGGCAAATTATGTGGCGGACTTCGAAGACTCGGACTCCTCCAGGAACGCTT